GGAGGCCCAGAATCGGTCGATGTTGAACGATCGGACGTTACGGAAATGGCCGATCGTTCAAGGTTGAACGATCCTCGCGGCGTCAGGGACCAACGCCCAGGTCGACACGGCACGAACCTGCCGTACCCCGCTTTCGCTTCCAGGCAAAACCAAGCCATACCACGCGCCTCCTCGTCAAGCGGCCTGGCCAGTACGGGCCGCAAGCTGGCATCGTCCTGGCATCTCTCTTGGAAGCGAGGGCGGTCAGCAGCGAGGCAGGCTTGTGTTCCCCCTGAGGAAGGCTTTCCAACCCTTCGCCAGACCCCCCGCTCACGCACCGCGCGTTGGCCGCGCTGCGATGCCCCTCACGTGCGGCGCCGCTCGGCGTTCGTCGATCGGCGTCCGTAAGTCGTCGTCGTTCGCCGTTCGTCGACAGTCGTCGTCCTGGTCACCATTCGTCGTTGGTCGTTCGTCGTTCGTCGCTCGTTTGTAGTCGTTCGTCGTTCGTCGTCCGTTGACTGTATGCAGTCGTTTGTCGTTGGTCGTTCGCTGCCGTCGACATTCGCCTATCGTCGCGCAGCGATACATCCGCGGGGAAGATCGGGGCGGCTTGGGGATGGAGGCGAGGAGGGGGCTCATTCTCGGGCGCAGCCGAGGCAAAGTGGGGGGGCTGGGACACGAACGTCGCGAGCGCGCACAAACGCATCTCACCCCCAACGATCAAGTGGGGGGGGGTGGAGGTGTACGCACGCTCCTTTTCATCATTATTCCTCTCTCTCTCTCTCTCTTTTTTTTTTTTCTCTCTCTCTCTCTCTCTTTCTCTCTCTCAGCGTCCCTCAGGTCAGCGTCCTCTCCCGTTGTCGCCGTCGCCGTCCTCGCGATTCGCCGCCGCCGTCGTCGTCGTCGTCGTCGTCGTCGCTCTCGAGGGTGTTTGGAGGTTTGTGTAGGTCTTCGAACATCTTTTGGCATGGTCGGTGGTTTAGGGGCATCGGTGCGCCGTGGTCGCATTTTTTCCGCCAGAGGACGCAGGAGGAGCACGCGGCAGGCACGTGTTGTTCTGCTGTCCTCCTGCGTCCCCCCACCAAAGGAGCCCCGTTTCCCACCCCTGGCAACTCCAGCAATCTGAAAGACATGCAGGATCGGGACGCGCCTCACAATTTTTTGGGGGCCTCCAGAAGGCTGGGTTCTGGGGCCTGGAGTACCGTCAGAGGAACGGTTCGGGGTTAACCGAAAAGCGGCTTCGTGGGGAAGGGGTTGGAGGGCTCCGCCTCGAACGTGTCGGGCCTTACCCTGCATCTAGGGGAGACCCTGCCCGCCCTGCAGATGGCCGTCCTCTCGTTCTCTCGTGCACCCGGCGTGGGTCTGACACCGATTCGACACGGACTCGACGCGCATCCGGCACGGTCTGACACGGGTTCGACGCGGGCATCTGCGCGACCGGACAGATAAGGTCCCCCGAAGGTGCAACATAGCATCGAGCCGCCGGACGTCTGGGCCGCAGCAGCTTCCAGAATTCCCTCCCACCCCGCCCGCCCCCGCACAGATGGTGTGTGTGTGTGTGTGTTGAGCCAGGTGCTCCGGAGCAGCTCTGCGCACCATCTGCGGTCGCATTTTCTGGCTGGCGATACTTACCAGTTTGAAGCATATCCCTATCCCTATGTTTGATATCATCTTACCTCGATGCCGATCTTGAGAGTTGCCTCAGTTTCTGAGGGCCTGTCCCTAATGATTGTCCTCGCTTTTTGCTCGCCCATCGTAGGGATAGGGATACGTTCGAGGCTGGTCAGATACATGCGTCTGGGGCAGGGACGCGCCGGGTCGGCGCCCCTCACAAGAAGGAAGCTCGTGCCCGAAAACGATCAGGCATGCTGTGCGTTTTTGTCGGCGACGTGGCCACCACAGCCTCCGCCGCGTCAGACGACGATAGCGACCGGAAGAGTCCAGTGCGGGTTCACGTGTCCAATGGATCACTTACGAGCCTTCCTTGTTTGCCTCTTCTCCCTCGTCCCTCTCTTCCTCCGTTCCCCTCTTCCTCCCGGGCGTGTTCGAGCTGCTCGTGCGGCTGTTGGCCGTGGGAGATTTGGATTCTCACCACTCATCACCCACTAAACCACCCAGCCCAACCAGAAGGCCCCAATTTATCCTCCATTCCGAGTGGGGGGGCGTCGGGGAACATTGGAACAAAAACATATGTGGAAACCGTACCCCCCCAACCCGGAATTCACGTCTTCGGATTAGGTAAGGGTGGTCTGGTTCGTCGGTTGTCACATTCGCACGTCTTGCCTGAAGATGTTCCAAACTACTTTAGCCTTGACTGACCTCAGGAGGTCTTCAGTTTTTCGCGGCGAGTGCCGCAAACATATAATTAGTTACCCAATATTGGTGGGACCCCAGTCCTTCAATAAGGCCGCCGAATAAATAGTTAGTACCCCCTACCAGGGGGGTTCCAAGAAAGAGTTCCGAGCACCAAGAAAGAATCGAAACTGGCGGGTTTTTACGCGTCGGGCCTTGGGCGGCGATACTCGTTCGACACCTCGCCGTCGGCAGACTCTGTTTCGATACTTTTCCGGGTGCTCTCAATTACGATGGGAACAACGTCATTGCCGCGTTCGTCCGCGCTCCGACCGGGTCTGGGACGTGCCGCCCCGCCCCCGCCGCCCCCCGAGGATGGCGAGATTATCTTGGGGGGCTCCACGCCTTGGCCGTCCGCCCCCCCCCCTCATCCTCTCGGTCGTGTGGACCTCGCGGCCCGACGGCAGCTCGGTGGGGCAGCTCCTCCTCTTTCCCGTCGTCCTCCCCTTCCTCCTCCTCCTCCTCCTCCTCCTCCTCCCCCTCCCCCTCCTCCCCCTCCTCCTCCTCAGTCTCCTCCTCCCGGTCGCGTGGACCTCGCGGCCCGACGGCAGCTCGGTGGGGTGCCCAAGAGTTGGCATCGTTCGGACGTGTTTTTGTTCTGTTCGCCTAGGGTCATCCAGGATAATCTTGCATCATCTTGCGAGAAAACACGCGCGACATCGAAGCATGCACGTGGAAGGGACGTCCGGGAGATGGCAAGGGGAAGGTCTGGTTGCAGGCGATTGTTCCCTCCCCGACTTCTAGACGAAAAATCAAGCCGCTCAGAAGAGGAGGGGAACTCGGGGATATACACCCCCAGCGGCAAGTCCGACCTATCGATGATGGACGCCTCCCCCCATCGTATATTCCAGGGTTGGGCCCCAAATTTCTGGTGCATCATAAAACCCACGAAGCTTGGGACAGGGGGCGACATATCCCATGCTATCTGACCCTGGGCCCTCCGTGGATGGCGCATGGCGGATGTTGTCGTTGAGTCCTCAGATACAAATGAAGTAACCATATTAGTAATAGTAATAATAACCATGGTAGTATAATGAATGATCACAATACGAGTAATAATAGCAAGCACACTACTATTGATACTAGTATGCATCTCGAACATCAGATTCATCTAGCATCATTAGTATGGTTGCTATCTTGTGTTCGTGTCATTGTTATTGTGATTATGAACTTCAGTGTTATAATTATTGTTGTTGATTCCCCTTCTTGGGCACATTATGTTTTTCACTTGAAGTGCCCTTTCCGGGGCTCGCACCCCGTTTTTTATCAGGGAAGGTCTTGAATCTCAGAATTGTGTTGTTGGCCCCCAGTTCAAAACAATTGCTCCCGCCTGATACTTCCTCACAATGTATTCCCAAATCGCGCTCTCGCGTGGGACTCCCTCACTATGCAGAAATCGCGCTCTCGCGTGGGACTTCCTCGCAATGTATTCAGGCGCCGCGCTCTCGACATTCAGAAGTCATACTCTCGCTGTGCTCACGATTGATTTGGGAATCGAAGTGTCGCTCGAGACTTCCTCGTCATTCATGCAGGACGCACGCTTCAGCAACCCGCCTGCTCGACCTGACCGCCTGGGCCCTCCTTCCCGACCCGCCTGGTAGCGTCTATCTGCCCGATCTTCCCGTCTGGTTCTGCCACGTGTTTTCTGCTCCTAGACCCCCTCTCCTGCGACTCTCTCTCTCGTGCTCCATCCTCCTCCCTCCCCCTTGTCCCTTCCTTCCATTCGTCCTCTCTTCCCCTACCTCAGAGGCTGCACGAAATAGACGTTGCAGGAAAGAAAGAGATACCCCCAATGGTGTACGGTCGAAGACGGAGAGGGCGGGTATCGAGGGTTTGGGATATACGTGTTGAATGGCACGCGAGCAGATAAGGGCGAACCGTCTTAAATTGATTGGTTGTTGTTGCGCTACTCGGCGTCTTGGAGCCCTTCACTATCGGGCCCCAGCGGTCAAAGAGCGACGCATGACGGAAAGCCGAATCCATCTAGAAGGGGTCGAGACTTCAATGGGCACACGTTGTGAAACAAACACGCTAACGGGGGCCTGGGGTAGGAACCCTCGTGGGCGCCAACAAGTGCGCCAGTATTGCCCTCGTTGGCTCAAAGGGACTTTCAGGACGGCCTAAGTGTGGCTTGGAAGGGGTTTCAAGATTTCCAAGGAGGTTCCTCAGATGCTCCCAGTGGGGCTTCAAGAGCGACCCGAACAAGTGCCAATAGAGACAGCAGACAGCCTCGGCCATTCAAACATTTGTTTTAATGTGGAGAGCTTCTCGATTCGGGGGCAGCTCGGAGCTTGGTGTGATACATTCCGCGGGCGCTAGATTCAAGGGTTTAGCCTGTACGGCCCAGAGACGCTACAAGGATGTGTTGGCGAGCTGGACGTTGGCGGAACGCGGTGCGGGCCGTTCAATCTTGCTTGTGGTGCTCGGGCTGGAAGTTGACGGATCGCCGTTCCAGGACAGCAAAATTCCGTTTGGGGAGACATGTTCTGGGTTCGCGGTCGCTGACACCGTGTTTTCGGCACGGGGGGTGCACGCGCCATGGTGTAGTTTCAGTCAGATCAGCAGAAGTTCCAATTGCCACATTGCCACATTGCCAGGCTGAAGGTGATGTTGCTCGGTCGTCAAGTGGGCAGCAAGCCTTCTGCCGCGCAGCTTTGTGGCCCCGCAAGGGGTGGCAGCGGACCAGAGGGCTCCTCCGACAAGACTCCAGGCAGACACCCCGCCATGTGCAAGCCAGGAGTTGGAGGGACGACGAGGAGGTGGTGAAGGAGGAGGGAAGCATGCCCTCTCAACCATCGTGAAGAAGAGGGGGTCCCCCCGCGGCTCTCTCCTCGAACCCCAGGGCTGACAAGCAGCAGCCGTGCGTGGAGCTCTGGCCCTGGAGGACAGCCCAGGGCCCAGGACCCGCTTCGACCAGGACTTGGCATCGCTCGGACGTGTGCATTTTTCCTTCGGCGAGGACCATCGAGGAGCATCCTTGATCATTTGGCGAAAAGACCACGCACGAAACCGAAACAAACCACGGGGAATGGACGTCCGAGCGATGGCCAGAGGACCATTCTGGCGTCCAGGGGGTGTCCTGGGTTGCTTCCGGAGGGTCTCTGGGGACCCTCCGGGAAGCCTCGGGGTGGGGGTGGTTCTGGGACGTCTTGGTTTCGTCCTGGGTGGAGACGGCCCTGGGAAGTAGTCCCAGCGTGGGCGAGGAGGGATTATAATGGGTCGAGCTGGAAAACAGTTGTTTGCATTCGCCGGGCGCGGGCAGGAGGTCTGAACGAAGCGAGCGTACCGGGATACACAACCGCCCCGTATAGGCACCGTGCCGTACCCGATCTTCCAGAATCGAATCGCATTGAGCAGTCCGATCGCTAAGGGGTTAGCGATGTTTGCAGTTGCTCGATTCGCGCTGGATCTTTCACAGCTCCTCCAGATTCTGGTTGGAATTCTCCAGATATGCCTTGTTCCATTTGGCTGTACACCGAATTGCCCGAGTTGTTTCGATTCATCTTGCTCTACCTTCGCACGTCGATTGGAGAAGCGTCGTCAAGCACCTACTCACAGGCGGCAAGCCTATCCCTACCCGCGCCCTCGCGGTCTGGACTCCGGGGCGCGGTCCCGCGGACACGCGGTCGCACGGATGCGTTTCCGCGCGGGGGGCCTCCGCGGAGGAACGCCATGCCTCCGCGGGGGTCGCGGCCGGCGAGGCCGCGGGGACGGATCTGTGTTTCGCCCGCGACCTCTGCAGGGCGCCGAGCTCGACCTCCCCTCGGGCCGGCCGGAGGGCGCGGGCGGCAGCGGCGCGGGCGGCAGCGGCGGCGAGGGGGGGGGGGGGGCCCTCCTCGGAGAGGCGCCCCGTGCTCGAGCACGGCGCCCGAGCTCTTCTACAGCTCCGCGCTCACCGTGACGGGCACGCCCGCCCGCCCCCCCCCCTCCCCTTGGCGCCCCTTGCCCCTCCGCCGGCTCGGCGGCGCTCTCCAGCTCTCCCCGCTGCAGTGCTCGCAGGACGCAGCCGCCCTGCTCCTCCTCCTTTCTCCTCTTTCTCGCCCTCTCTCCTCCTCCTCCTCCCCCTCCTCCTCCTCCTCCTCCTCCTCCTCCTCGTCCTCCTCCTCCCTCCTCCTCTCCTCCTCTCCTCCTCCTCCTCCTCCTCCTCCTCCTCCCTCCTCCTCCTGCTCCTCCTCCTCCTCCTCCTGCTCCTCCTCCTCTTCCTCCTTTCGCCTCCTCTCTCCTCCTCTCTCCTCCTCTTTCCTCCTCCTGTTCCGCCCGGCGGGAGCGGAGGGGACCCAGCCCTTCCCTCCCCCTCTCTCCCCCCGCGCCCGGCGTCGCCTCCCCTCTGCCCTCCCTCACTAATGCGCCGATTTTCAGGAGGGGAAAAAACACACAGACACAATTATTCGTCGATTTTTAGGAAAATATGGGAAGATATAGGAATTGGGCGGGAAGACAAAAACCCAGAAAATATATGAAAATATGGGGGATATTTTTATTTGTGTGTATTTATTTGTGTGTCCCAGTTCCCCTTCAGATTTACCACCACAAATACCACAGGTAGCAGAGGGGAGAAGGAGGAAGAGGAGGATCACGTTGCATCTTCGGGAGGCCTCGTCTGTCCCTCAAGATCCGTGTCTTTTTCGCGTGCCCGTCGCGGGCTCGATGCGGAGTCGACGCGGACTTGGCGCGGATTCGACCGGATGGACAGACATCACAGGGTGACGATTGGTGATTCCTCGTTCGTTCCCTTACCCTCCTCTCCCCTCATGCTCCTGCTCATCCTTGCCACACTGCTTCTCCTCCTCCCTCCTCCCCCCTCCTCCCTCCTCCCGGCTCCCTCAGTATCCTCCATCCCTCTTCTCCCTCCCCTAATGACGGCTCCCTCCTCCCCTATCGCTTGTAACTTCTTTCTACATTTTAGATAACTCCTCCTCCTCTTCCTCCTCCTCCCTCATCCCCTTTTTCCTTATAGACACCTTCTCGCATTCGTGCCCCCAGACGTGTCGGTAGGACGGGCCTGGCGTTTCGCTTGAGATTGTCCCATGTATGACCCCAGAGCTTGCGCTTCGCGACAGCTCCAAAGACGGAGAGCGGGTGGTTTTCAGAGCGAGGATGTCGCTTTGGCGCTGGTCTCATTGGCGTTCAAGCTGCAGCGGTTCGAAGGACGGAGGACGGTTCCCCTTCACGATTGGGTGTTCGTCTTGGCGCCGCGCACACTCGTCTTACACTCTACAGCAGCTGCAGGGTGGGATCGCGGGCCGTTTTCAAGATGGGGTTATGTATTGCCTTGGCGCAGCGTGCGTGCGTTTTTTGTTAGTTGTTTGTTTTGTTTTGATATATTTCTTTTGATACATACATATATATATATATATATACACATGTGTGCGCACCTAATAAACAACGACTGCAAATGTTATTTAATCGCTTCGCTCATTCCGCCGGCCCTCGAGCGCTCTATGGGGCCTCTTTGAAGCCGCGTGGGGGCCTCTTTGGGGCCTCCTAGGGGCCTCTTGGGGGTCTCTTGGGGGTCTCTTAGGGCTCCTCGGAGGCGTCTTGGGTTCCCCTGGGGCCTCTTGGGGGGCTTTTGGGGGCCCCTTGGGGCAGGAGGGGGGGTAGTCGATTGCAGCCACCCCCTCGGAGGCCACGATCCTCGTGAGGGTTGGCGAAAAATAGCCTCCCCCCTGGGGATCGCCCGGGGATCAGCCGGGGATCGGCCGGGGTACTTTTCGTCCGGGGGCCCCCAGGGGCCGCCCCGCGCGCGCGAACTAGAAATATTGTTAGTAGTTGCCGGAGATCTTAGCACGCCTCTGGCCCGTTGGGCCGGCGAATTTAAAAAAACGAATGCAACAGTTATACACGGATTGGGTGCGGTTGCTTTTCAAAACGAGGTTCTCGCCTCAGCGTCGCGCGCACTTTTGTTTCCCAACCCTCGTGTGTTGGGTTATCGTTTGACTAGAGCACTGTGGTCTCCACCTCTCCCGCCTCCTTTTTCCTCCCTGCCTCGTCCTGCGCTGCTCCCTTTTTGGGGCTGCGAACTGCGGTACGGTCGCCACTTTCGTGGGCTCCTGGGAGGCTCACAGGAGTTGGGGGGAGTACGAGCACCCAGCCGAGACATGGCAGGTCCCTGGGGGGCTGAGATTTGTGCAAATGTCTCCACCTTCGTGGGCTCCTGGCGAGGGAGCCCAGCGGAGTGGGGGAGTACGCACATCCGGCCTAGACACTGCGGCTCCCTGGAGGGCAGCGACCTGCGCAATTGTTGCCTCCTGGAAGGCCCAGCGGAGTAGGGGATAACGCACATCCAGGAGGCTGTGTTTTCTTTTAACCCTCTGGGCCATAACGCGCATTGTGCTTCCAACCCTCCCCCCCCCTCCCCTCCCCCCCATAGCGTAACGCTCCCCCTCTCAGTGCGTCCCCGGCACTGTCGCAGTGCGTTCGGCATCACGGTCTGGGGGGGGGGGGGGGCGCTACGTTCTGCCCCCTCCCGTCCCCCCCCCCTTTCCCCCATAAAGCCCGTTATGGCAGCGAATTGCACAATGCGTTGCAGCCGAGACCTCGGCTCCTTGGGTCCTTGGGGCGGCGCGAAGTGCGCCACTGTTGTCGCTTTGGTGGTTCCTGGGAGGCCCAGCAGAGTGGGTGCGTAGGCAGCCACGGCCGACACCTCGCTGCTCCCTGGGGGGGCTGCGAACTGCCAAATTGATGCCACCGTCGTGGATTCCTGGGATGTCCAGCGGCGCCGATTGTCCTCGCACCGTGTTTGTTCCCAACCATCCTGTGGTGTTGGGTCTTCGTTTTGAAGAGACAGCGCCCCGCGTTCCCACTCCCCCTCCTCCTCCTCCTCCTCCTCCTCCTCCTCCTCCTCGTCCTCCTCCTCCTCTTCCTTTGCCCTCATCCCCCTCTTTGCCTCTGCCATCCGCATGCCCCTGTTTCGGCACACCCCTCACACGCTTCGTGGCCCCATAGGGAGCTCCACCGAAGGCCCCAGTGGCTGCGCTCGCACGACACCACCGCACCCATCTCGTGGCCCCATAGGGAGCTCCACCGAAGGGTCCAGTTGCTGCGCTCGCATGACACCACCGCACTCACTTGGGCACAGCCTCTACGTTTCGTGGCCCCATAAGGGGGCTCCACCGAAGGCCCCAGTGGCTGAGCTCGCATGACACCACCGCACCCATTTCGTGGCCCCATAGGGAGCTCCACCGAAAGCGCCATTGGTTGCGCTCGCATGACACCACCGTACCCATGTCGGCCTCATAGGGGGCTTCACCGAAGGCCCCAGTGGCTTCGCTCGCAGGACAACACCGCACCCATGTGAGCGCACCCCTCACACGCTTCGTGGCCTCATAGGGAGTTCCACCGAAAGTCCCAGTGGCTGCTTTCGCATGACACCACCGCACCCATCCCAGCACACCCCTCACACGCTTCGTGGCCCCATAAGGGAGCTGCACTGCAGGTGATACCAACATTTGCTCTGATCCAAAACTGCATATGGCTCGGTTTTCGCCACGATCGTTTTTCTTCGTTTGAAGAGACGGTCCCCGCGTTCACTCCTCCTCCTGCCGTTGCCCCCTCCCCCCTCCTCTCACCATCAGCATAATCGTCATCACCCGTTTCAGCACACCCCTCCCACATTTCGTGGCCCCATAAGGAGCCCCATCGCGGGCCCCATTGGCTGCGCTCGTATGACACCACCGCACCTATTTCGGCACACCTCTCACACTTTTTGGTGGCCCCACAGGGAGTTCCACCGAAGGCGCCAGCGGCTGCGCTCGCATGGCACCACCGCGCCCATGTGGGCACACCCCTCACACGTTTCGTGGCCCCATAAAAGGGGTTTCACCGAAGGCACCATTGGCTGCGTTCGCATGAGGCCACCGCATGACACCACCGCACCCATGTCGGCACCCCTCAGACGCTTCGTGGCCTTATAGGGAGCTCCATCGAAGGCCCCAGTGGCTGCGCTCGAATGACACCACCGCACCCACGTCGGCACACCCATCACAGTTTTCGTGGCCCCATAGGGGGCTCCACCGAAGGGCCCAGTGGCTGCGTTCGCATGACACCACCGCACCCATTTCGGCACACCCTTCACACGCTTCGTGGCCTCATAAAGGGGGCCGGGCTTGGAGCCTTTTGGAACATATTGGGAGCCATTTTGCGGCATTTGACATATATTGGGCCATCTTGGAGGTCATTTTGGACGCTCCAACGCCTCGCGGGGCCCCCAGTTCAGGTCCAGGGGAGGGGGTAAGGTGGGTGGGTAAACCCCTCCACGAAGGGGACGAATGGGGGTTGGAAGAGGAGCCCTTAGACCACCTACGCCCAGAGGGGCCTCTCTGTTGAGGTTCAAAGTTGTTGGTCTCCTGCTTGTCACGCAGGTTCTCGCACTCGTTGTTCGAGGAGGGCTGTCGGTGGCAGCGGTTGTGGGCCATGCTGATGATGATATGTATGGCCGGTGGAGGGAGCCCTTTTTTCGCGGCTCACGCAAGCAGGCACATGGCAGAGCGTTCGTGCCGTCGTTTACCTTGCTGCTGTGCTCGGCCTCCGCGTTCGTGGGTTAGTCCTGGCTCGACGTCGGTGTCCTCGTGGCACTGATGGCTCCTTCTGTTGGCCATCCGGATTCGGTGCGCACTCACGTGCTCGACGTATACACCACACCGTTTCGTCGGCCAGAGGAGCCGAGGGGCTCGGCGCGAGAGAGTCCGGTGCACGGGCGCTCCCGCGACCCACGACCTGGGAGGCGGGGGGGTCTGTGCGCCCGAGCTTGTCGGCTGGCCAGGCGGCCCCGGGTCGGTGCCGGAGGTCGCCGCGGCGATCGCGGCGGCCACGAGGTCGGGGCAAGGATTTTTGTCAAGGGGCGGCTCTGAGATGTCGATGTGGCGCATCACCTTTACCACAGGTAGGAGAGGAGGGAGAAGGAGGAGGAGCAGGAGGAGGAGGACCTCCCCATCCTCCCTTCTCCCCCGTCCTACCTATGGTAGTGGTGGTGGAAGATTGGCTCATCACTCACGTTGCATCCCCGAAGATCAGTGTCCTATAAGTCATATAGCGGCAGAGAGCTGTCAATTCATGTCCATCATGGGCATCCGTGCTTCTTTCGTCAGGGGCCGATGATCACGCAACCATCGGCGGCGAGCTAGGGGGGGGAAGCGAGAAGGAGCAAGTCTTCTAAGACGGCAGCGAGGCTTCTCAGACGCCCTCGGGCCTCCTGAGAAGTGGTCGGTGCCTTCGGGGAAGGCTCAGGAAAATTCTCATAAGGCCTGGGGACTTCTGGGCCTTTGAGAAGGCCCGCCCCTTCCCACTTCCCCCCGGGTTCGCTTTGGACTGGGCTAGGACAAGTATCAGTCCGTTCGAGAGCGCTCCGGAACGCTCCTCAGATCGGTCCGGAACGCTATGAGAAGGTCGTGGCGCCCGAGACATCTTCCAAAGCCGCCAGATCTCAGAGATTTTCCATTTGTCCTCACCTGGTTTTTACCCTCGGAGTTCCCAAATGGGTGTTGTATAAGGGGTGTGGTACCAATGCTGAAAACGGCGATGTTACCTACGCCAGCCGCAAGTGTTAGGTCAGACATGTCCCTCTACAGGAGGCATGTTCAAAACCAGTCAAGAAGATAGTCTGGGGACGATGTGTTTTTGAGTATGCTTGGATATTTTTTGGCATCTCTCGGCTATGTTTCCTGTTCCGCCCAACACCCGCCTGCAGGGGGACCGGCCCGACCCTGCGCCAAAATGCGTTGCATCCCCCTTCAGCAGCGTGGGCCTGACGCGGACCGCCTCACACATAGGGGGCCACATGCGAACCCTGCTCAGGAGGGACAAAAGGACGTACACGTACATGAATCCACGCTGGTTTCGAGAGTACGCATTGCGCAAATGCTCGTATAACGCGGCCGTTCTCTCGGATCGAGGGGCCGTGTTCATGTACATGGCTGGGCGCGTACGTCCTTTGTGGGCTCCCTACCTGCCCCTACCCCCCACGATTTCTGAGAGGGAGGGTGGGGCTCGCCTGTGGCCCCCTGCTGACGCACCAATGCATTGCATCCCCCTTTCATCGGGCCGGGCGAAAGGGGGGATTGGGAAAGGGGGGGTTACGAAATTTGCTGCATGCAGTTGGTTTCGGCCTCACCGAGGGGCCCATTCCTCGATACATAGCCGCCTCTGGCGCGGGGAGGCGCCGGGAAAATCAGCTACGTGAGCTGATTCTCAAACCCCCCCTTTGCTATCCCCCCCTTTCGCCCGACCCGATTTCCGCAGCGCGGGCCTGACGCGCACCGCCTCGCACAGCAGCACGCCTCAGAGAGAGCCGGGCCCTGGCCTCTCCGCCCCTCCGTGGTCGCCGCCGGAGCTCCACGCGGCCCCCGAAAGCACCCCCCCCCCGCGGCCCCGTCGTCTCCTGGCTCCTCCCAGGGCTGGAGGCACGAGGGAGGATTGGCAGACGCGAGGGGCGGAGGGATTGCAAGGAAGGAGGGGAAGGAGGGCAGGAAGGAAAGGGGAGGAGGAGCAGGAGGGCGGCAAGCGCCCGCGGCCCAGGGCTCCTCGGCCTCGTCGTCTCCTGGCTCCTGTGCAACGTCGGCGCCCTCGCCCGGGCCCCGGCCCGCGGCGCGGCGGCTCGGCCGCCGGCGCCCGGACCGGTCGCCGCGCGCCGCCGCCCGCCGCGCCTCGGGGGAGGGGTCGGCGAAGGCGCCCGCCGCGGCCTTCGGGGAGGCTCGGCGGAGGCGTCGCCGTGGGTGGCCTCCCTCGGAGGAGGTCGAGGCACGGGCCCGGCGCAGCACGCGGCGGCGCGCGGCGGCGCGCGCCGCTCGACGCGCGCCCGCCGCGGCCTCGGAGCGGCCTCTCCGCCCTGCCTGCACGGCGCGGCGAGGCGCAGCCTGCCGGCGAGCGACGGCGAAGTCGTCGCCGTCGGTCGCCGCCGAGGGCCGGTCGGGGTCTTCGGGTGGGAGGTCGTGGGCTGCTCTCGGAGGTGCAGGGGGGCGGCTGAAAGCGACGCGAAGATCGGGACAACATCGGATCGGGGTAACTCGAAATCTCTGAGAATCGGCGGGTTTGGAGGGTGTATTGGGCGCCGCGGCCGCTCCAGAGCGTTCCGGAACGCTCTGAGAGCGCTCCGGAACGCTCTGGAGCGATTTATCCCGATCCTAGCCCTGTTTTACGGCTTGACCGACCCCGAGAAGACCATCCCCTTCCGCGACGTCCCCCTTCGCCTCGCCCCAAGCTGTGCGTCTGCGGCCGGAGGGGAGCTCGAGGGGCGAGGGGTGGCGTCGCGGAAGGAGGTGGCCTGGCAGGGATCGGGCAGGCCGCGCCCGAGAGGTCTTCGGAGGTTTTTCGGGGCCTGGGAGGGTTCCCATCGGTTGCTCCTCGTCGCGGGCGTTTTTTGGGATGCCGGAGCCGTCCCGAGCGGCCGCCCGAGGACCGAGTGGTCATGGGGAAACAGATGGAGGAGATCCCATCTAGGCATCGGCGTCCCTCTCTGGCGTGTGTCTCCCTTTTGTGGGCCACCAGGAAGCCTCCTGTCGCCATCGGCTAATTACACGTAGTAGTGTAAGTCGGGCATGTTCCTCTCCAGGAGGAATGTTCAGAAGAAGTCAGAAACTACCTGGGGACGATGTTCCAACTACATGGAAGCTGGAAAAAGTGACTGGGGCCAGCCCTTCCACTCTTTCCAGCCCTGGCCAGCTTCCGTTTTTTGTTCCAGCCCTGGCGACAGCATCCCTACTGTTTCGGGCTCGCCTCACCCACTGCCAGTTTTTCCAGCCCCAGCCACTTCCACTTTCACTGACTTTCCAACTTCCAGTGTTTCCAGCTTCCCTGTATTTTTTCGCTACTTTCGAGCACTCGTGTGCGATGTTTCAATTGTCCTCTGAAATCCGCCTGTAGGGGGACATGCCCGATCTAAGAATAGTGACCTTTCGTCGGAGTGACCTGTGGTGCGGGCACATGGGGGTCCCCCGATGATTGAACGCGATGCGGTAGCAGCGTCTTGCGCGCTCGGCTTTGGCCTCCGCGCAGCCCCTGGAAGTCGCGCACCAAAGGTCACTCTTGCCCAGGGTCACTCTTGCGTGTGCCCGACGCCACGGCTGGATCCGCTTCGAGAGTGGGTCAGGGCGGACTCCACGAGGAGTCCGGGGCCGCTTTCTGAGCGGATTTGGACCAGGCGGGAGGGCCGCCGTTTTCTCCACTGGCCCCGCCCGTTTTCTTGTCCGACGGAGCCTCGCGGCGACGTATCCCCACCAGCCCATCCAGAAACGATGTCCAGGCGAGTTGAGAGGTGATCAGGGAAGTGCGGGAGCAAAGAGGGGGACGGCCGACCGTGTGAAGGAGAGAGGGGGGCCAAGGAGAAAATTGGATGGATGGATGAGGGAGTAAGGAGAAGGAGGATGAATAGGATGAGGAGGAGGAGGCGGAGGGGGAGGAGGAGGATGAGAAGGGATAGGAGGAGGAAGGAGGAGGAGGAGGAGGAGGAGGAGAGCAAGCAAAAGGGCCAGAGATCTCTTGGATGCTTCTCGGAGCCTCTTGGGGTATCTCTTGGGCGTCTTGGGACGTCTTGGGGGTCTCTTGGCGGTCGTGGGGGGCTCTTCGGCGTCTTGGGTGCCTCGGGGGGGCCTCTTGGGGCCGCTTGGGATCCTTTTGGGGGCCTCCTGGGGGCCTCTTGGGGGCCTCTTGGGGCCATTCTGGGGCCATCTTGGGACCTCTTGGGGCCTCCTGGGCGCTTCTTGGGGCCATCTTGGAGGAGATCGATCAAACAAGAGGGGAGCTTTAATTAGCGTCCCCCCCCAAGAGGCCAAACTGGGGCCCAAACCCTAGTAAAACCAATGATTTTGGCTTCCTCGCCGAGGCCGTTTTGGACGCTCCGACACCTCGCAGAACCCCCTGTCCAGGTCCATGGGGAGGGGGTAGGGGGAGGGGTAAACCCCTCCCCGAAGGGGAAGAAGGAGGGGTGGAAGAGACAACTCCCTAAACCACCGACGCCCAGAGGGCTGGTGGGATTCTCGACGTTTCGCGTAATTATCCCCACCAGCACATCCAGACAGGGGAATATGTGTTGTATGAGTCGTCAAAAGGTAGGTTCGACAGGTCGACCTGGCGCCCTTTCGGCTCTACAATCAGATCATACCGGCCCGAAAGAGAGAGGAGGAGCAAGAAGAGGAGGAGGAGGAGGACCATGAGGAGGAGGAGAAGGAGGAGGAGGAGGAGAAGGAGGAGGAGGAGGAGGAGGAGGAGGAGGTGGAAGAGAAGGAGGAGGAGGAAGGGGGAGGGGGAAGGGGGAGGCGGAGGTTGCGTGCGGCCCTAGAGTGCCACTCGGTGCCAGGTCTTTTCCGAACTGGTTCAGAAATACATCGGATCAGATTGCCCCGAATGAGAGAGGAGGAAGCGGAGGAGGAGGAGGAGGAGGAGGAGGAAGAGGAGGAACATGGGGATCGGGAGGGGGAGGCGGAGGATGCATGCGGCCCTGCACGGGTCACTCGAGGTCCAATCATTTTCCGAACGGGTTTAGGAACAAACACTTCATATTATCTTGCCCTGAACGAAACAGGAGGAAGAGCGGAGGAGTAGAAGGAAATGGAGGAGGAGGAGACGGAGGAGGAGAAGGAGGAGAAGGAGGAGGAGCGGAGGAGGAGAGGTCTTGGTGGTCCTTGGGGCCACTTGGAGCTTCTTTGATGCTGAGGGGGAGCCTCTTGGAGCCTCTTTGGTCTCTCGTGGGGGCCTCATGGGGGCCTCTTGAGGGCCTCCCTAGTGATGCTGGGCGCCTCCCTGGTGGTGCTGGGCGCCCCTTTGGGCTCTCTTGGGGCTGTCTTGGAGAAGGGGGGGTCCCAATTGAGGCCCCCCCCCCTGGAGGCTCCAGGATGGGCTCTTGGGCGCCTCTTGGGCGCTCTTGGGGCTGTCTTGGAGCCGGGTTGGGTCCCTCTTGGGCCTCTCTTGGCCCATCTTGGGGCCATCTTGAGGCCCAGGAGGCCCACCGCAAGCGAACAAGCGAGAACTACAACATAGTGATTCCCCATATGTTGAAAACGATATTGGCCTCTTGGGGGTGCCTGGGGAGGCTCGAAGGGCACTCGGAACCGTCTTTGGGCTGTCTTTGGCCGTCTTGGAGGCATGTTGGAGGCTATCTTGAGCGATGTTGAAATGTCTGGAACCATCGTCGAGGTCGTCTTGGCCTGCCTTGGGCCTTCCTGGAGCCATCTTGGGGCATCTTGGGCGCTCCAGTGCCTCGGACCCCCCTCCCTTCCAGGCCCAGGGGAAGGGCTAGGGGGAGGGGTCAAGACACCTCCTAGATAGCAAGTCGTCTAGCTCACTCCCACCCGCCCTCCCAACACCTAAGTAACACCCGAACCTGAGCATGTTCAGCGGTCGTCTTTGCATGGACAGCTACTGGGAACCAAAACCGACCTCATGTGCGCGACGCTGAGGCGAGGTGCGCCACGCGTGCCAGGCGCGCCACGCGCGCCAGGCACTCCTGGCGCCCGAGCGTGCCAGGCACGCCTGGTGCGCCAGATGCGCCACGTGCTCCGCGTGCGCCAGGTGTGCCGCATACTCCAGCCGCGCCAGGTGCGCCGCGTTCGGGGCACGTGCAGAGTGCGTCAGGTGCGCCTGCGCACGTGACAGCACACATCGGGAAACGTGTCGGCCGCCACCATCCTTGTCGAAAACGAATGCCCATTATTGTGTCCGGTGACGTGGTGGGCCTGGGCACAGCAGGCCATGCGCCACCCCCCCCGCCGTCCCTGTCAACAACCACTTGACAGTGATCGCGGTGTGGCCGCGCACTATCCAGATTTAGCCGCGATGTGCATGCATGTTGTATTTGTTGTTTTAGGGATGGTAGCCCTGTCCTGTGCGCAGCAGGCAATATGCTGACACCCCCGCCGTCCGTGTCGAAAATAACACAAAGTGTTCGCGGGCCTCACGAACATGACTCCAGAAATTGCCCCAAATTGTATTTGGTATTGTTTTTGTGACAGGGATGGTGGGGGGGCGTATCGGGTTGGCCGCGCATGCTCCCAATGTGGAGGCAGAGTGCGTTCTGTAGTGTTTTTTTACAGGGACGGTGGGGAGGTGGGGACATGGTTCCTAGTTGACCGCTGGTCGCCTGGGGGAGGGGGTGTAAATTAATAGGGAACAGTGATAACCCCCTCCCCCGAGCATGGGAAGGAAGGGTTGTGGCAGGGAGCTCCGTTAGACCACTCAGCCCAGAGGGCTGGCGGGATTATCCTGCCCCCTCCTCTTCCCGCGGGCTCGCAAGCTGCCGGCGTCGACGCGGTCGCGAGCGACATGGCGAGGCGGATGTCTCGAGCCAGGTCGATGTTTTAGACGTTTTGGTGGCTCGCCCCTCTGCATTTTTGCTATCCCTCTTCGCATGTTTCGGGATGCGCGTCGGAGATATCGCCGGGTCGCGCGCAATGTCTTGGGCGTGGCGGGCTGGGAACTCACAGGTGGCATCTCGTGCGGCATCGCGGAGTCAGGTCGCATCGTGAATTCTGTAACGGGGCGAACGTTTTCGGGGAGAGCGTCCGCGGCGAGGCGCGCGGGGAGAGGCATCTCCAGGACTGCATCCATGAGGCGAGGCGGAGCAAGCGCAAAGTGTGGCCGTGTCAGGGATGGCGCGGGTCCCGAGGACCAATCGATTGGCTGGCTTACGCCGCGGCGAGCTGACGCGGGGCCAGCGGCGCGAGTTCGGGGCTGCGCGCAACACGAATGCTGGGACGAGGTGAAGGGCGGGGCGGGGGGAGGAGGAGGAGACTACTCGTCCCCCCCCCCGACTGGTGATATCTGGGCGCATTTTTGCACAGATGTTTTTGTGTCGGGCGCGCTGGCTGGTCTGTGACGATGCCAGCTGCGTGTCGTTGCGAGATTGCGTGGTTGCAACGGGCTGGTATCGTGCGTGGTTTGTTTTCCTCCGGCGATCCGGGGCCCTTTTGGACAATCTTGGGGGCCTCTTGGGAGGCCTCAGGAGTCCATCCGGGGATCGTCCAGGGCCGGGGGGGGTCAAATCCTACATCCTCCCTCCTCCATCCTGGCTCCCCGCTCCTCCTCCTCCTCGTCATCCTCCCGCGAGCGCGCTCCCGCGCGAACTTGTTCCCGCCACCTCGGCGAAGCTTCCGTTGCCCTGGCGCGGTGGCGACGCCAGCGCGGGCGCTCAAAGTTGAACTCCCTCCCGGGGCGAGTCCTGAGCCGCTCGTCGTCGTCGTCGACGCCGTCGCCGACGACGACAAAGATGTGTCGACAGCCTCTGGGAATTTCCGAGAGCGGAGAACATGTTTTAAGGTTGAACGGTTCACGCGGTGGGGCAGGAACCAAGGGTTTTTTTGCAATCCTTCGGTTTTTTTGCAATCCTTCGTTTTTTTGCAATCCTTCGTTTTTTTGCAATCCTTCGGTTTTTTTGCAATCCTTACACAGTTGGGGCTTGTCAGGGCTGTGAACACCCAGTATGAAGAAACCCTTCAGTGGATGCACTGCTCTGCGGATGTTTCAGAGCTGCATCTTGCTTGCAAAGATGCCTTCAGGGGACCGTCTCTAGAGCCTTCCTGAAACGCGTCCAGGCTGTCTGGAAACCACGCTGGATCGATTGTGGACCATCTGGCCAGCAGGTCCGCAAATCGACTCTATCTTTTCTCGGTGGGCCCACACATGAATGAGAAACGAACGAACCTCGTGCGGCGAAGCAGGTAGCCACAAGTGCCCTTCGGGGGCGGTAGATGAGCTCGCGCCCTCCCCTTTCAGCCTTCTTCTGGGAAGGGACAGGACAGGGGAACGCTGATCTCAGGGATACAGTCTGTAGGTTTTGTTTCCACACCCGTCGGGCATCGCGCAGCTGTTTGACTGATCCAGGGGAAGCCCAATCGACGCCTCGCCGTGGCAGGTTGTGGGTGGACCGTGTGGCGGCCTCCGAGGGTTCCTGGGGTGGATGGACGGAGGTGAGCAGCTATCCTGGCAGACATCTCCAACGAGGACTGATGCCCACGTTGAGATTCGGAACCAGGACGATCATGCACGATAGCGGTATCACCTCTTGCCGTACGGCGGCGATGACGACGACGACGACGACGACGAAGTGTTGACGGGACCGTCGTGAGAGGTCTGTCGGGGGCCTCTTGGAAGCAGTGTCGGGGCCACCTGGAAGCTGTCTTGGAACATGCGTTGTGCCTTTGTGGAACCTTTTGGGCCCTCATCTGGGTTGTTTTTTCTAAACGTTTTGGGGCCTCTTGAGGACTTCTTGGGCCCCTTGGAGCTCTGTAGAAGCGTAAAGCCTGGGTGTTCGGTTCGGGCTCCCGCTCTTGGGGGTTGTCTTGGGGCTCTCCGTGCCGTCATTGGTGCCTCTACGGCCTTCTTGAAGCCCTCTTAGGCTGTGTTGGGGCCGTGGTCACGTGGGCTGTCTTAGAGTGGTCCTGGGAGCGTCGTTTCCCCGTGAACGCAGAAACGTTGCTTATGAGAAAAATATGTGTTGCCCGAAGGGAGTTGGACAATGTTTCCCTCTTGGGGCCATCTTCGAAGGCCTTCTGGAAGCTGTTTGGAGCGTCTCTTGGGCGTCTTGGAGCGATGTTCCATGGACTTGGTGCTCTTTTGAACTGTCTGGGAGCATACTGGCGTGCTTTAGGGTCGTCGGGGAACCCTCTATCCCCCCATGATGCGTTCGCGTCGGGCATGGGTGCGCTCGTGCCGGACGAGGGGGGGGTCAAAATGCAGTTTGGGCCCCGCAGGGAGGGGGATAATCTCGCACGACTGGGGGCCCACGACGGGTCGGCGAATTCTACATTGTGTTGTTATTTATCGTGGTTATAATGCGTGTGTCGGTGCCGTGCATTTTTTTCGTCGCGTTGATTGCGTATGAGTCGTTGATCTGTGGATGGTGGAGACGTTTCCCTGCTGGTGTTTGGTATTTATGCGTTGCGGGTGCCCAGTCGGTGTTTTTCCGATTGTTTGTTTTTGGGGGGGTTTTGTCCCGCGTAGTTTTTCCGATGTCGCTGCGATATTTCGTCACTTGTACAGACTGACGCGTCACGTTGGATTCGTTGTTCAGCATGGCTTTTCCTCGTCAGGCGTGTGCTTCTAGGCGTTTGCTATTGTATATAATGTTGTTCAAATGCGTGTTGCGCTGTCGAGTCGTTTCCGTGACCGCTCTGTGGTTCGCACTGGTTACGCGTATGTAACCTCAGGAGTTCTGCAATTTTGATCCCCCTTTTTCCATCGGCGGTGATTAGGACTGGTCCTAAAACCGTTTTTTCCTCCTCTTCCTCCTCCTCCTCCTCATCCTCTTACCTGTGTGAAAGTCCCGGGGACCGAAACTGGGCGAATTCGGTTGCTGTGAAACTAATGCGACGTCTGGACCTCAGACACCCGACAGTGTGTGTTCTTCGATACGCTGCTTCAGAGGTCACGGTCCTTTCCATGGGCGCAGTTTTTCGTCCCGGATCCGGTTCTGATGGTCCCTGGGTCCGATCACATACCCACGGAGGCCGACATCGGGGGATAATGTCTGGATAATATCTGATAGACTTAAGTCGGTACTGTCCTTCTACAGGAGAAATATTCAAAAATTGAAAAATAGTCCGGGGCCGATTTTCGGAGGGGTTATTTCAAGATTCGTCATCTTTTTTACGACTACTTTCAATTTGTCGTCTAAAATCCCCGTGTAGGGGGACAGGCCCGACCGAATGATAGTCGGAGATCGGGGTCCCATGGCAGGAAGAGTCCACGATCAAGTTTTGCATATCCTTGGGTCGTCAGACGGCGACGTGACGGCGCGGCGGGCCGTGCCGCGAGAGGCCGTGCGGCGCGGCCTGGTCCAGTCGGGTTTCAACGTCTTCCAGGCGCGCCGCCCTGGGCCCGCCGGGCCGCCGCGGAGGAGGTTGAGCAGGAGGAGGAGGAGCGGGAGGAGGAGGAGGCGGAGGAGGAGGAGGAGGTTGAGCAGGAGGAGGAGGAGGAACAGGAGGAGGAGGAGGAGGTTGAGCAGGAGGAGGAGGAGGAGGAGGAGGAGGAACGAGGGAGGAGGAGGCCTCCTCCCTCGCTTCCTCCCTCCCCTCCCGCTCGCGGGGGCGAGCGTCGGGAGCCCGGGCATCGAGCAGGGTCGGTCATCGAGATTGTGTGGGTGGGTTCGCCTCCTCCCTCCCTCCTCCTCCTCCTCCTCCCTCCCTCCCCTCCCCTCCCCTCCTCCCTCCTCCCTCCTCCCTCCTCCTCCTCCTCCTCCTCCTCCTCCTCCTCCTCAGAGCCCCGAATCATCAGAGCCAGTCCTCAGAGCCCCGAATCATCAGGGGTAACTCGGGTCAGGGCTAACTCGGGTTCGTTTTTCCGGGAATCCAAACCCGAGTTACCCCGGACCCGAGTTACCCCGGATAATTCGGGCGTCCAGAGCCCCGAATCATCAGGGGTAACTCGGGTCAGGGCTATTTCGGGTTCCTTTTTCCGGGAATCCAAACCCGAGTTACCCCGGACCCGAGTTACCCCGGATAATTCGGGCGCCCAAAGTCCCAAGACCGTCGCGGCCTCGCTGGCGCGCGCAAGCTCGCGCGCAGCGTTGCCGGCAAGTCTGGCGCGATCGACGCGGCCGCGGTGGCGTTGACCGCTTGGGATTTCCCAGCGCGTATTGCACGCCGCGCCGAAGCGCGGTCATGGCGACGTCGACGACGGCAGGCCCGATGATGATTGTAGCGATGCTGGTTGTGATGGTGACGGCGACGACGGCAAGACAATGACGGGGCCGATGTTGATCACGCCGATGGCGATGATGGTGTCGCTGTGTCGGCGATGTTTGTTTTGGAAGGATTTCGGCATGCGCGCGCGCCCGGCGGGCGCGAGTGATCCGCATGGTATTATTCGCAGGTTCCGCGCCTTTCCCCAGCACGCGCGCAAGGGCCTTTGATTTTTCCGCGTGCGCGCGCGAGGGGCCCGTGTGGTCGCATCCGATGGAGATGTTAAAATACAATGGTTCCCGCGCGCAGTGCGCAGGTCTTTTCTCAATTTCTTTATTTCGTTTTGTTCCACATTCGTTGCAGGCTGTTGTTGTCAACGGCAGGCTGCAAAACCGTTCGCTTCACATACTTTTGGAATGTGCGCGCGACGACGCGATCGTGTCGACGTGGTCTTTCTTATTTTCCAGGCGGTTCTCGGAAACTGATTGTTTTTGACAAACGAGTGCCCGAATCGAATTTCTGACAGGGGTGAGGGGGGGGGGGCAATGCTGGTCTGGCTGGGATGTACAAATCCATGTGTAGGGTGAGCGAAACACGCAGAATCGCATGTAAATGGTCTCATCCCAGTGGGTGGCGCGATGACCGGTGGGCGGTGGTGGTAGTCTCTACTTTCGTCTTACATCGGAGAATTCGCGTTGCGCGCTCAATGTATGTTTGCAGTTAGTTGTGGGCTTCATTGTTCACGCAACCGTCTCACCCGCCCACCAGCAACTTGGTTTGCAAAACCTTTGCGGCGGCGGTTGCGATGACTGCTCGGCGATGGCTGGCGCATCGCTGCGGCCGAGTTAGCGCGCGCAGGCTCGCGCGCGCAGCGACCGGCTAGTGTGGCGCGACCGGCGCGGGCGCGAAGGCGCTGACCCTTGGGGATATCCCAGCGCGTATTGCAGGCCGCGTTGTTGCGCGGACGCATCAGTGCGAGTCGATCGTTCGGGCGGGCGCGGTTTCATAGCGACGTCGACGACGGCAGACATTATGATGATAGTAGCGGTGCTGGTGACGATGGTGACGACGACGTCGGCGAGGCCAATGACGGCGCCGATGCTGATGTCAGGCATCGCGCCCACCCTCCCAACCGTGTACCCCAGCACGCGCGCAAGGGCGTTTGAATATTTGATGATGATGATGATGCTGATGATGATGATGATGATGGTGATCGGGAAACCTATGGCTTCCCCCCAACCCGCAAAAACGCGCCCTCTCATTTTTTATACGAACACCCATGTTACAATAACATGTTTTTTTTATCAGCTGTCGGGACAATCGGTTCAGGCTTTTTCACGAATCTATCGTTTTGACGGATTTGTGTATGCGCGCACGACGACGCGCGCGTGCGCATGTCGCCACATGGTCTGCAATGGGCTCACGCAAACGGTCTTATTTTGGATCAGCGAGGGCGCGCGCATAGCATTATTCGATGAGGGTGGAAGAGAATCCGGCTTAGCCGGTATGGTACGGATTCATGTTGGGAATGAACGATGGGGCATGACAGTTATGAACATTGCACACACACACACCCGAAAAGAGGGCACGGATACAACCGCGGGGAGGGGTATCATTTGTTTGTGCGTTTGTGTTGCTCAATGTATGGGGTACAACTTATGTGTTGCAACTTATGGAGTGCAGGTTTCAATATATGAATGTCAGCCGATGTGGTGCAATTGGTGTGGGACAATTTGTGTGGTGCAATCTATATGGGGCAGTCCTACATTGTGCAACCTACGTGACACAATCTATGTTGTGCAATGCAGACGGCGAGACGGCGACGGGACGGCAACGTCGAAACACGGAACGCCCAGACCGCCAGCCAGGCCCAGACGACGGGCGGCGACGAGGCGGCGACGGGGCGGCGATGGCGAGCACGGAGCCGCCCAGACCGCCAGCCAGGTCCAGGCGACGGGCGGCGACGACGCGGCGATTGGGCGGCGACGGCGAGCACGGAGCCGCCAGACCGCCAGCCAGGCCCAGCTCAATAGACGAGAAGCAAGAACCTCTGCGAGCAAACGCTGCTTGGGGAATCAATTATCCTCCTATCCACCTTCTTTTCCTCCTTGTCCTCCTCCTCTTCCTCCTCCTGACACTCTCCGTCCCCCACTTCACCTTTGGAAGCTCGGTTTCCGACGCCTCCGCGCGATTGGGCCCCAGAAGGCAACCAACACAATTAGATGTTCTGGCTACAAGCGGCTAGTAAAATGGGTGCAGTCATTTCGAGGAGGTCGCCCGTTTGAATATGTGCTGCCCGAACCGCTGTGGAAACCTTTGGGAGAACACTGGGGGGGGAAGAGGGGGAAGGCGGAGTGGGAGGAGGAGGAGGAGGAGGAGGGGGAGGAGGAGGAGGAGGAGGAGGAGGAGGAGGAGGAGGAAGAGGAGGAGGAGGAGGAGGAGGAGGAGGAGGAGGAGGACGCTGAAACATCTCCCGAACAGGTGGTGGCGCGTGGCCTGTGGCAAGTCAAGAGGGTCCCATGCATCTGTCATGTCGAGGCCGTGCCCTGGGGTCGCAGACACTCTCAACGGTGCCCATCCGTCGTTCGCTCCGTTCTGGTACCCGTTGTGTGTCCTGGTGGTGCTCCAAGGGTGGTTCCCGCAGGGACCACCGAACCATCGGGGTCGACAGGGAGCGTCGCCGGCCCACGGCTTCGGGACTGGGCTCTATCAGAGCCCTCGAGAGAGCCTTTGGCTCGAGCCGTCCAGGATCAAGACACCCCATACTGAACCACTCCATTGCTCTCGAAACTCACCCCCATTCTGCATACCCAATGGACGGTAACCGGAAGGCGATGTTCTCTACTGGTCAACCTCGGAGCGAAAGAAAGCTGGGGAAGGAGAAGGACCAGATGAGGAGCAAGGACCCGAACTAAACATCCAGGATCAGGCTCTCGTCGACGCCATGGCGAAGCGCATGAGCGACATCATGGCCGAGAAACTGACGAAGCACGAAACCGCTACTGATGAGAAGATCACCAGCGTTCAGAAACATATTGATGAATTGAAGGAGGATTCCAAGACCCAGTTCAAGGATCTACACACCAAATCCGACAACACAGCCCAGCAAGTACAACAACTTCAACAAACGATTGAGAACATGAAGAGCATGAACATCAGCTGCGATCGGAACCTGCAGCTGGTTGCACACGGGTTCAATGACACTTCTGAGGCGGTTGTCGTCGAGTATCGGAAGCAGTTCACAAAGGACGAGAACCACGAGCAGCGCGTCCAGAACATATTTTGTGTGGCTGATCCCACTGCTGTCGGCTACATCGAATGCAAAACGCTTGCGAGCAAGAGCGGCTTCCAGAAGCTGATGAGAGAGAGAGCCCGCCGCAAGCACCTGGAGCGCCCCCGGAGACCACACGACGATTCACAGACAACCTCACGAAAGCGGAGCGCCGCAGCATGAAGCAGCTGGGCTTCACGAAGTGCCACCTGAACCGACTATTGGGCATTCCACTGGGCGACATCCGCATCATGAAGGAGGAGCTTGCCGTGCAAGTCTTGGGGGAATGCTGTGACCAACGTCGTGAACGGGGAGATCGAGTTTCCCGGCCGGGGAAACGAAGTGAAGGTGCCAGTATAGGCAATCGATGCGTGAATGAGATGCTAAAGGCCCCCCAACAAAAACTAGGCAGCCGGGTCTGGCACCACGCCGGCCCGAACAGTTTTGAAGATTTACTCAGGTGTTCGACTTTGCCCCTCCCCTCCCCTCGGCCCCCCTGCGCCTCACCTGGTGGTGAAAAACCGCCACTTCCCATGAACGCCGATGTTTTCCAGAATTCGATGCGAGACCAATTCGGCAATGTACTTTTTAATCTCCCCTTCTCAAGTAGTATTTTCGCCCCCTCCCTCTCGAGGAACCGTGCCCTCAGGACCAGCAGCCTCGACTCCAGCATTCCGAACGACTACGACAACGACGCCAGTACGCAGTGCCGGAGGCGGCAGAACGGTCTATGCACACGCGCACGGCGACGTACCGATATGCATTCTCCACCGACCGACACAGCGACCGACCACAATTCCAGCAGCAACGCTGGCATCCCAACAGCAACCAGCCGCACAGCGACCAGCCACCATGAAGCCACAGCACTACCAGCAAACGCCGACCCACGGACCAGCAACGACCTCAGCAC